TACGTTTTGTAATTACCTACGTGGAATTTACTACATGTCTCAAATGAAATTTATTGTGAACATTGTACAATTATCATTATTATAGATAATGCTATTCATAAAGAGATAAATAATTCAGTAACACAAATTTCGATATTTGAATCTACTCATTATTTAATAATCAATTTCTTTTGTTTCTTGTTATTTTTCTTCTGTATGATGTTTTTTTTTCATTTGCTTGGTGGCACTTACCTTTTGACTTTTTTATTGTTTTGTATCTCAAATAGAAGTAAAGACCTAATATCATTATTAATTTTTAAACCTAAGGGTTCGCTGGTCGGGCCCTATCCCACGAAGCCCCAATACATTCAAGAAGGCACACCAGCACTAACAACCAATGGGTTGTTCATTGGGTCCGAGAATCATGTGCCCTGAACAAGCGCAGTGAATCAAGAATAACAGCCTTTTGCATTTGACCGGCTGAGATTTATGCCTTATTGCGGCATGATCTTGATATTCAAAGGTAGAAAGGGCCTGATTCCATCAAGGACTCCAATAATCAAAACGACCATCCTGGCAGAGTCGTTTGAATAGAGTTTGTTTAGTTTCGATAGTTTATCCGTTTTTCCTCCTCTTTTCGGTCGATATTCGTCTCGTCAGGAGCTAAAAACTCCACGACGAATATCGTCTTGCTCTGATGGTCGAGAGGAACTACATCAGGTTCATTAGCCTGTATGAGCCTGAGGATGAGAAATATATAGTTCCAATAAAGTCGTCACTTCTCGTTTTTCACAACGGATACAATATCCCCCGGAATGTAGGGCAACACCGGTGTCCCGTCAATACCGATAAAGTGCCGTATAGGTGATAATAAAGCACTCTTAGGGTTGCGTTATGTCGATGGATATAGGCTGAGATCGCATGTGTCAGACATGGTGACATGCATTATCATTGTTATTTTTATGATTATTATTACTATTATAATTACAGTTATCGAAATTATTTGTTGATTTTTTTCAATAATAATCAATGAACTCCAGGTTAGGTTAGGTAAGGTCAAAAGTGAGTTGATCTAAGAGTGTGGCTCTCTCTGCCAAACTCTGAAAACCTAATTCGGTCCGCAGCGGGGCAGGCACAAATTATATGCTCTGAGGTTTCATTGTTTCCCAAAGAGTGGTGATACAAACTGTCTTCCAACAGTCCAAGACGTCACTGACCTGTGAGGAGGCCTGTAAGATATCGTAGTTCATCTCTACTGTAGTCCAACAACTGTTTGGTTTCAAAATTCGATGGGTGAATGAACGCTTTAGAGAGAGCCAATCCTGAAAGAAAGCAGTCTTCAAATCTTCTTGCCATCTATGTGTTTGTTTGCTTGGCAAAACCTAAAGCGAAGCCAATGACAGGTTTTGGACTGATGAAGCTGCTTCCAGCACCCTCCTTTGCAAAGGAGTTAGCAGTCTTATTGCTTTCCAGGTCAGTGTGGCCAGGAATCCAGACCAGAGACAGTTTGTTAAGTCTTCCAATTGAGGAGAGTCCTTTTTGGCAATTTGCTACAAATTTAGGCGTTGCTTGATAGGAGCCAAAAGCTTCCAACGCCACTTGACTGTCCGAGAAAATTTTTATTGACTTGTGTATGAAGTTGGATTCTATCAATCTCTCCGCACACAAATCAATAACATGATTTCCGCTTGAAATATAGTCGCATGGGTTCCTCAGCAGGTTGAAATCTCTATTCTAGGTCTGCAAATAATTACACCCGCACCAGAGCCTGGGGGTGTTTTTGATCCATCTGTGAACCAACAATTATCTGCTCTTAATATTTCCTCCTCCCGGAGTATCCACTCCACTCTACTTGGGAAAAGTACCGTATAAAGCAGTTCGTAGTTGACAGTTGGTTGTCAGAGGTTATTCCTAGAATGCTGTGACTTCCAGTGTCAACCAGCAGTGCAATCACCGATGTGCACAAGTCTATATGCAGTTCATCTATCCTCTCTCTCCAGAAAAATGTGGAGAGGAGGTAGATCTAGAAGGATCATCATGGTCTCTGACGGTGTGGTACTATTAATGGACGTGCTCATTTTCATAATTTGAAACCAATACAAACACCAATACAAACAATACAAACACCAGAACTGCAGCGCTCTTCTCGACGCACGTTCATTGGAATGAAACAGCGATTTGTATTGTATTCATTTTACACCATTCCACCTTTCATTTTTACTCGTACTGAAATCCTAATACCTATTGAATAATATACGAAAAAATTTTTCACCCACCGCATCTCCCACTCCCTATATGCCATCCGTCGATGTCATAAATCTGGAAAAACAAAAACCTTGCAAACGCTTATCACCGAAGCAAAAATGCATTCGAATGTTTACAGTACAACCGGGCGGAGAGCGAGCCCCGCGGGGCTGTTGGGGGGATGCTGGGGGGACGGAATATCGCCGACTGCAACTCTCGCTTATCACAGCATTCGCGCGCCATTAATTCCAAATCATGTTACCGGCATTCAAACATTATAAAATGATCACTTCATTTCACAGCCACCTATTGTTTAAGAGAGGGTTAAATAATTGAATCGGAAGCAGAGGGGGTGGGGCAGGGGAGCAGCTAGGGGGTAAGTTACGACGTACGTCGCGGACGCTCATTAGCGAATGTGCGGATGAGGAATTTACGGCCGTGGGGAGAAGACAAGATTTGTCAATCTGGCGGATTGGAGAAATCGTCCAAGGAATTTCAGAAGATGGTTACGAGGGGTCAAGAAAAATAATCGACGCAGAGTTAGGAGATTTTCACTGAACAGTTTGGAGAACCACAACAGTTGTTTCACTATACAATAGCTTTCCCAGACAACATACATAATTTGTATGCTGAGAGCGAAACACGTGTTGCGGTTTAGTAAACTGTCCAATGAAAATCTCACAATGAAATGTTACTCCGTTACTTGAATAAATTGTTGTTTTTTCATCAAGTATCTAAATATATCATCATATGTTGCAATGTTGCAAATGAGTTTTTCTGAATTATTCAACATGAACCTAATTTCAAAACAAAAAAATGCGTAGAAGTCGAAGACTTTGAACATCTTGATTGATTTTTTTATACAGGAATTTTATTCAAATTCATCAGTGAAAACGAATTACGTAAGTACTACGACTGAACATAGACCGAATAGTAGTGATTTCAATAATATATGAATATATATTGAACGAAAGTATTTTTTTGTGAAGGAAAATCAGTTTTTTATCTTCCTTTTTTTGGTATTTTCACGTTCCACAATCTGAAAAATATGAAAATTATGATGAAGAACTTTGTGCAGGTGTAGAAAGGGCAAATTTTTTAGTTTACGCCGAAAAGTTACCAGGTAAAATCAAAGTATTTTTCACTTAGAAAAATTTTCAATTTATGAGTAACTTGTCGTAGAATACAATACTTATCTTAACGTTCGTCAGAAACGAACAAAATTCAAACAAACAGGGTATTACACATGCGGCAATTAAACATGTCCTTTGATGATTTTTGATAGGGCGCTTTGTTTCGAAGACATAGATAATAACAATTTATTTCCAGAAATCTACAAGAACTGTTGAACCCCCTCTCGCTCGGATTCAAGAATCCAATATTCTCCTCATCGACTGCCGAACTCTTTCAAAAACACCAGTATCACTTACGAGACATAGTATTCAAATTGAATGTTTTTAGCCGTTTGTAGTAATCGGAATGTTGTTGATAGGTACCAAGGGAATTGTTAGATTTTTCATTACTTGGTAGATCCAGATGTATGCTATATTTTTATTTCGGCTACGTTAATAATTTTAAAATTATCAAAATTGTTATTGCCGAAATTTTTTTCGCTCCGTAACTTTGAAACAAAGCGCTCTATCAAAAATCAACAAAGGAAAAAATATCCGTAGAATAGTCCAAAGAATAGTCCCTTAATTTTTTTGCCGCATGTTTAATAAACACCCTGTATATGCAGTTATCTGTCAGACCGTTATTCACCTCATGTGTGCAGGATTCAAATGAACGAGTCTGAGGTTAGAACTTTGAAAAATGACAGAGTGACTTTTGATAAGTGATAGAGAGCTTTAAATTTCACTAGGAGTAGCAAGTGTACTCTAGTTTATAATGTAAAATTTATGTTTGGTTTAAAATTTATTTTATGATTGGAATAAAATTGAGATTTGTTATACAATGGAATTGTTCAAATTGATATTGTTCTTGTAAAAGTTATTTTACTGTAAAACTTATATTATTGTAGTTTCCCTGATGATGGAAATGAAATTTTCCGAAAGCTTGGACTAACTTAAAAGAGTACTCATTTATTTGCTGCAATACCCCACTATCCAACAGTTTATATATAAATGTGAAAGTCCGAACTAATGAAATTCAGACAAATATTAAGACAAACAGACAAGCAAACATACAGCATCCATGGTTTATTTCTTCAAGTCAAAACGTTGTTTTCTGTTGAGTAGAAGTTTTGAAAAAAATCCCGAATGTTTCAATATCATTCATAAATTCCTCAATGAGAGTTGAAAAATTTCACTTAATGTAATAGAGGATATGAAAAATAATATTCAGAATTGTTTGTTGGATTTTCACAATTCAATATTACCTTGAAGTTATATCTTGAAATGAAACGAACCTATACATATTTCTTCCATAACTTTATTTAAACGAACTTGACTATTGCACATATATAACAAAAATCAACAGTAAAATATATCTACATCGGAATATACAATATTTACAAAGAATTTCTTACGAGATACTCAATTACATCACTTCAAGGGAAAGAAGTGTCGACTAGATAGACAGAAATACAAAATTGAGTAGTTTTTGAGAACCCCTGTAATATTGCTATCATACACACGTTTTTCCGTCGGAAATTCATTTTGAGAATTTGTTTTCCTACTATCCTACATCATTATATTGTCTTTACACCAGTAGGAAAAATTTTGAACGTAAAAAACAGTGAACAAAATTTGAAGTACATACTTCATGCGAAAGTAAATTTAGAATCCACTTTTTTTCACTACCTTTTCGTCATCATCCTTGTCCTGATGCGCCGTCATATGTCTTGTCAAATGATGCCTCTCTCTGAACGATTCTGCACAAACGGGACATTTCAACTTATCTTCCCTTCTCCTCTTCGTCATTTCGCTTGTTTCATTCTTATGGTGGGATCTCATGTGATAAACGAGATCGGACGTCATCCTGAACGAAATATTGCATTTGGCACACATGTTCTGAGCCGGCAGAGACAAAGCTGCCAAGGAAGGCGGCAAGAGAGAGGTTAGGATTGCAGCTGCCGGATTTCTCAAGTCCGGAGGAGCCATTTTCAGCATCTCCGGGTTGGATAACTGTTGGTAGTTGTAACCCAGATCGGGCCTGTACATGGGGCGCATTTTGGCGAAACTAGGTTGAATCAACTCGGGCTGAGCCTTAAAGAAGTTGTCGTTACCGGAGAAGTTTTCTTGCAGGAACTGGTTCTGATATGCCAACTGCTGGTTCTTGAACATCTGGCTGGGTGAGAGTAGACTGGCTGGAAAATTCTGATAATTTCTACTGATTGGAGGTGATGGGCTCAGGGAGTTTTGGTAGCTCAGATCAGGGCTCACGCTCAAGCTTGGGGACAATCTTGATTCCTTTGACAGATTTACTTTGGTGAAGGCACTTTTCTGGTCGCTAGCTGGTGACAGAGATTTGTGCCTCAGCTCGTCTAGGTGCTTGGGCTTCACGAGGCCTGGATCGTCGAAGATTTGTTGTTTTTGTGTAAAAAACTTTTGATGTGGAAGCTTGTACTCACGAGGGTTATCTTCTACCTCGACTTCTTCGTCTTCATCGTTGTTGTTGTAACATACCTCGAGCTCCTTGTCGTAGGACCTGGCCAGCTTCTGTTTCTGCTTGAGTTTATCGTCCGGCAGCATCAGGAAGGCCACGTCGAAGGGCCTCTTCACCGCCTTGGAGGGAATTTGGGTATGCTCGTCGCACTGTATTTCACTTTTCAGTTCGAATTTTCTAGCGTGCACGTCCATTCTAACACTTACGACGTAGAGAAAACTGTGCTTGAAGCTCTCTGAAGAAAATCTCGACACTAAATGCGAAAAACCAGACCGATCGCGTCCAAATATTGCACGATTTGTAAACCTACCCCTGACGAACAGCTGGATTCCCACCCTTATGGTTGGAAAAGGACGAAACGTGCCGGAGCTCGTGAACGGGAGAGAGAGGCGAGACATACGTTTAGAAAAGCACATTTTGTATAAAGCTTCCTATAGGGGTGAACGTAAGTTTCAGGGTAAAATCGGGCCAATGGAGTTTTACTGGTGGGCGGAGCTCGGGAATACGGTCGTCCAATACGGTTTTCAATGTATGCCGCGCTCAGGACGGGAATGTAAGGAGTTCTCGGTGTTTGAAGGGTTGTATAGGATGGACAGATTGCGAGGATAATGTGGATAGGAATTTTTTGAATCAGTAGTTGGAATGTACGGGGTGGCGTGGTGGTTTTGGTGGTTGAAAGAGTTGATATTTTTGAATTGATCTATTTTATTATTATGTCAAATTGGAAGGTGACTATGAAAAAATACAAAATATCATTGCAAATTTATGAAAAATACACAAAAACTTACCGAAAAAAACATGTCAAATAATTTTATATCGCTTTATAGTTGACAAATTTTTGAGTGTACTCAAGTAGGTGAATTCATTTTAAATTATGAATTATGACTTAATGACAATTAGCAATACTATCCATCATAATATACTACTGGTATCAGTAGGTACTACTGTCGCGTCGAAATTGGAAATCACAGGATTTACTGCAGGTGACGTTGACAAACTTTAAAAATCGACATGATGTTGCATTCAAAAAAGATAAGATTGTGTAACATTAAGGGAGGCCAGGAAATCACTTGATACTCTCCGAAATATCATGATGAAAACAGACGTTGATAATAAAGTGTTCTCAGCACTGGGGACTTTGGAAAGTGCTTTGTACTAGATAAGCCAAGCCAATATTGACATGTAATTTTCTTTTTCTTTATTGTCCTTTTCATTATTTTACCATTTTACTATATATGTATAAAATTTAGGTAAGCTCATACATTGTATTTTCAAAAATATAATAAAAAGTCGAATTTTTTTTCTTTACGTTTGATAGTTCAAACTTTTTGATAATTCGAATTTTTCTTGCAGTCCCTTGAATTTCGTATTATCGAGAATTGACTGTAGTTGTTGAATTGTTACCGAAATTCCAGAAGTGATTTTCTTAAAAAATTCCACCGACTGTGAGTAAAGCCTGCTCATGTTTTTCTCCATGTAGGTGACTTTTCTCCCTCTTCTACGAACAAACAATTTTTCATTCCCCGAAGTCGATAAAACAAATACATGTTCCCAATTCAATTTTAGATAGTCATCTCTAGATTCTAATTCTAGATACTCTCTAATAAAAAAGTTCCTAATCCACTTTGCAAACAGAAACTAACAAACGTGGGTCTTCTTTTGTCGCAACAACGAGGGTAACTAGACACCTGCGATGCGGTCTCATCACATATGGTCTAGGCCAGAATCAATAGCAACCCCCTGTAGTGAGCGAGATGAAAGGGATTTGAACATATTGTAAAGTATTTAGCGAGCCTTTAATTTGGAGCTGACGCAACGCCAAGTCATATGGTCACATTTTGTAATATGTTGGGGATTACGAGATTGGATCATTGTTCTGTGATCGATATATTATTTATACTATTCCATTTATGTTTTTTATTTTCAAATTAGTCTCAAGTCACAAAACCGCAACACGCGTTTCAGTAAGCTATAGCTTCGAGATGTGACACGTTCAAATATATTAAAAATATTGTTTTCGGAACACAGAGATTTTGTCTATATTGACCACGTGATAAATGTAAATATATTCAATTAGGTTTGGGAAATAATAAATTCTCAAAAAAATTGAGATTGTTGATTTTACATAATACCTCACCTTAGTAACACCAGACTAATGATGATATGAATACTACTGGTGGTCTATTCCAAAACCAAACCGTTATTTTAAATGGTTGGTGTTGGAATAGAACTTCAATAATATTCATTACTATACCGATGGTTCCAAACAGAGCATCACATGGTATTATTATTTTGTAACCTGGTTAAAATACTATTATTGTTACCGGAAGACGGACCTAACCTAACCTACCGAAAAACGAACTTCTTCAAACGGGTAGATACTAAGATATACCAATTTTAATGTTCACAATAGTGGTTAGGAAAAATGCACTTATAGGAAAATACTAGATTGATTATTATCAACTCAGATACGTCAGTTTTCTTTAGAATTCCAACCACATTATAATTGTTTTATACACTATATAATTCAGATTATCAAAATGATAATTATGGCGCGAGAAAACGAATTTAAGCAGCCTCTCGAGCCGATACGATGCACGTAATGAAGAAAGGTTGCAATTGCGATGGCTCTGTTTTACGTAGTGAATCATTTTGCTTGTGTGGATTTTTTAAAAGATCATTATTATTAGTTACAACTAAAAGAAAATGTGGTGTTCTTTCTAAAACAAAATTTTTATATTCATATATATATATTTAGGCTTCAAGAAGGGATTTATATGGAGCCTCCGAAAGAACATTCTGAAATTCTAAAAGCACAAGTGGAAAACATGAATAATGCATCTGGCATTCAAACAAAAGCAAGAAATATGTTTGAAGATCTATAAAGTGATGATGAGGTTTGCCTTTTGAAAAAGTCTTTGTACGAATTGCGTCAAGCTGGAAGAAGCTGGTTCGAAAAATTGGACATGATTTTGAAATCAATTGGAGCTGAACCAACGAACGTCTAGGAATCGAGTTTTCTCGATATGGATATGAAATTGCTTTACACCAGAAAAGAAATATCACAGATTTGTTGCAACGTTTTAGAATGTCAGAATCCAAAGCCGTTAGTATCCCTATGGATTCAAATGTTGAGTTGAAGAAAACTTCTGAATTTAACGCAGATGGAGAACTGAAGGTACCTTATCGAGAATTGGTAGGCGTTCTAAGTCACTTGGCTCTAACTACAAAGCCAGATATGAGTTTTGCTGTCAGCTGCCTAGGACAGTTTAACAACTGCTTCAACAAAATCCATTGGACTGCGACCAAAGGAGTACTACGCTACCTGAAGGGAAGTATGGGCCTTGGGATCATTTACAAGCCAGACAATGAACTTGTCGAAGGGTTTGTGGACACCGATTTGGATAACAATCCGGATGATAGATGTTCCTATACTGGATATTGATTCATACTTGCTGGTGGATCTATATCATGGGATTCAAAGAAACAGTGAACCGTTGTTGCTCTGTCATCCACTGAGTACATGGGAACACCAGAAGTTGTCAAAGAAGCCATATACTTCCAGAGATTATTGTCTGGTTTCAAGAGTTTGATTCATAATGACAATCGTAGTGCCTTGATGCTTACAGAAAATCCAACATTTTACGCAGGAAGCACTGATATACTTTTCAGATATACAGGGTGTAACATAAGTACGTTAAAATATTCTAGTGACGTATTCCCGAGACAATTTTAAGAAAAAAAGTCTATATGAACTTGTGTCCGAAAATGCTTTTGTTCGCTTTTTTTTTAAAAAATAACTCTTGCAAAAAATGAATTATTTGCACGAAATTTGGACCCGAGGTTTTTTGACGTGGGAAATCATAACTTTGTATTAATTTTCATGTAACATCTAGAGAGCGNTATATAATGATTTGTAGATACAACACTCCATTTTTTATTTATCACACCATTTTTTATCATATTTATCACTCCATTTTTTATCATACACACTCGATAACATTTATATATCGGAAAAATATTTTAATCAAAATAAAATATAAATAAATTGAATTGAGAAATTTCTTTTTTGTGGACTCAATACCCGAATAATTCTCTACTCAAATCACGAATTGTTAAGTTCTAATTCAGTATGAATATTTTGTCCGCTTTTTCAGTCGATAGCAAAACTAATGCATTTATAATAACTCCCTATTTTTCTCTCTGAGCTACACTCCACAGAGAGTGCATCATCCAGGGATGAGGGGGCGAAAATAAGGGTCGAACTTGGCCGTCTCATGTACGCGCACTATGGGGGCATAAATAGGTTTTGACAGGTCTCCTGGGTTGTGCATAATACCACTTGTCCATATGTTGCTTGAATATTGTACCGAGGAGTATGAATAACTCCCCTGTGGACGACCTGCTTAGTTCTGCGTATTTGTGGATTACGAGAATCAATGGTCGGTTGAGTAAGTCTCTAGTAGATTATTCATTTGTATTACGGATATTTCCGAAAAGAAGTATCTGCTCACAATAATCGACATACATATACATACAGAGACAAAAAATGTCCAGAAAGTAATAACACAATATCCTAAAATTCTACCAATAAATTTCCATTTTTTAACGTGAACTTTGTTATCTAACAATACTTCGAGAGCAATCACCAAGGTAAAATCACGACTTCGTAGGAAGAGTGGTTTTATCTACTGCTGGTTTGCTCGATTGCTATTGCTAGAAAATAACAAAGCTAGAGAAAATTTTTGAATCGGGTGGTAGGTACCGTAAAGATTATTTCCTGAAGTATTCTCGGCTGAATGCATCGATATGAAAACAGAATATGAATTCTCAAATCGAATCAATTTTATTACCTGAATAACGAGAAATTTCAACAAGAACATTTGTTTTTTAAGAATGATTATTAAGGACACATTATTCGAATATATAAAACAGGGTGCGTAAAGGCTAAACTCGTATTTTTCAACAATATGACTGTTTTCGAAATGCATCATGCGTTGACATGAGATCGCAGAGCCAGCACCCGAGTCACCCGACTTACTTGTCGCCGCTGGATGCTTTAACTATTGTCGAGAATTCTTTTCGATTTCTATGAAATTAATACTATTCAGAATAATGTTCCAATTCGAATTAAAAATGTCTTGTGAGAAGGATAATTGTACCTATTATCGATGGCAATTTCATATCTGTCAATTTCATAGCAGTCAATTTCATCGTCATCAGTT